TGAAACGGCCGACGTCATCCGCAGCGCCCACCATTGTTGCTCAAGATTGAGCATTCAAGCTTGTGTGATTGTGCATTGAAAATCAATATTGCGCATGTCTGGGGCCCCATAACAACACGTATACATTCTGAATGTGGACCTTTTACTAGAAAAGGCCACATTCAGAGTAAATAATTTAAGGACCGTGGCGCTTATCACGCTGCGCTGACCATGCAACGCTTGCCCAGAAAGGCAAGTGTTTCTACGCTTTGCTAAGACGTGACGGTGGTGGCACCTACCCGTAGCCTTGCGTTCTACACCTTATCACCTCTGAGATGGGCGCGCGCACCGATCTCAGAGCCACGCGCTTTATTTTCTAAAAGAACTATCAGATGGCGCTCATGTCTCACGTGTGACGTGACTTGATGCGCTCGTTCGCCTACGCTGCACGCTCGACGCACTCTAACGCAGCGCCTACAGAACACCATTCACCGATTTTCTTGCACAGAACATCAAATAAATGTCTTGTTCATTCTCCACACGCAAGACTATCATCTTTCGACGACATTTGTGATGAAATGCAGATACGGGGCCAGTTTTTGTATACGCGATCGTGCACGCAAACTGTGTAATTCTAGTAGGCACACAACTAGCACGCAGCGAGTGCACAGCGTACAATACATACGCACTTAGTTCCATAACAAGAAAAGTTTGTTGTCCTTCCGTATGAATGACACAACTTCTAAAAACGCGCCATGATGCCTACAGCACTAAAAACAAAAGTTCGCATGTGTTCTCAATTTACACAATGAGTAAGAACCAACGGAGCGTGCAGCTGATAGCTGCGAATGCAAATACCATGCATTATTGATCAACAGTGAAGTGAACATATGTGAAAAGTGCCACTAGGTACATCCTGCAGTGCAATGGATTCGCACCGAGAAAAATCTACAGCTAGGTATCGCAGAGCTTTCCTAAAGAACACGCATAAGAAGCACCACTAGTAAATTGACTCGCTGCCGGCTGAAAACACCTACCACTCCGTCTGCGCTGCTTACGAGGCCACTGCGGCAGCTGCTCACCGGAAATCGGCAAGTGTTTCTCCGTTGGAAGGCTGCGCGGGTGTTTGCGATGAGGCGGCTTACCGAATATGACTTCGTGGCCTCTCCTTAGTTTTTTCTTCCTTCGTGTGTAACCATGTGCCTCCGCACTGGGTCGGTGCCAAGGAGGCCACGCCTTTCTTTGCAGTGCGCGCGCGTGACGCCACTCTTTCCCTACCCTGTCACAGCTCGCCACGTGTCATGCCTCTCGCTTCACCCTCTCCACCGCTCGCAATGCTCGAGCCCACTCCTCACTTCGGCAACATCATCTCACCCGCGCCACCTCTCTCCATTTGTCAGCGGAAAAATTGGCAAATCCCACGTACAGTGGGAATCGATTATGTGCGAAGCACGAATGAGAAAAGTTGATATGTCATTTTAAAATCAGCACAACATTATGAGGTGCAGGTAAATGAAGCCGTACATGACATCCGTGTCATGCTTATTATTGTTGGATGTGTCGTTTACTTTCGACATCTATTCACATCATGTGATACCGAATTTAGTATATGTGTAGCTAGCGAAACGACCGTGAGCACGCTATGAGCGTGGTATGTTGCCACGTTCTTACATGACACGCGTTTCAGGATTATCTTGTTTGCTACAGTAAAAAACTCCCAAGCGTTTCCCCGAAAGTGAACATGGTTAAGTGCGAATGCACGGGGTGATGCTATGAGGGGGAGTAAATTTAAAATTCGGTGGCATTCGCCAGTGAGTTAACGTAAACTCCCCCGTGTGATCACATTGCGATTCCCAGGAACCATTAGACCCTCTCGGGAAATCTTGGTGAGTTTACGCGTATATGTGAGAGTAAATTCGCACTATAATGATGTTTATGTCCGCGGCTCGCTTCGCCCGCTTGCGCTCGGCATCACGGGCCATTCGCCGCGCTGCCTTGTCTTAAACCGGCACGACATCTTCAACGACGCGTGCAATGCTCGCATTCGATTGCGTTGTACTCGTTGTTGGAGGTATCGCAGTCGAGGTTGATGTCTGCGATGGATCCATATCGGTGATGACTTGCCGATATCGCGATCTATACGTGCCGACTTGCGATCTATAACGTGGACAGCGTTATAGTCCATCCCTTTCCTCTTACTTTCATTTCATATCTTTGTTTCCTCATCAAATGACCCATTGTTCCCAACATGAATGACAGTCTATATTGATTCCCTTCAACAAAACTACGCAAATGTTTTAGTCGGCAAATTCAATAAATTCAACATTTTTTTTATTTACGTAGGTCAACTTTCTAACATTTGCATTTGTTAGAAGAAGCGTTGACAAATGCACTGCACCTTTCTTCCGGTCGAAGTTGAAGTGTAACATACAAAATCAATAACAAGAGCACCTAAATGCAGTGTGCTGCGGCACAATATAGGACGTTCAATTAAAACTAGAAAAATAAGCGTAAGCACGCGAGCTGGACCAATTTTGCACGGGAATGCGGGGCTTTTTGTTGTCCACATTGTCAGCACACCCTAGGTAAATGTTTAGTTTGTTTGCATGTTTGTTTATTTTAGGATATGTCCTGATAGTCAACGCATGTCATTTAAGTGCTTTTTTGACGAAGCGTACTTCAAACACACTTGAGCTGTTCTATTCCCAAAAGCCTCTGGTGGCACCTAAACACAAATTACGTTAACCCGACGTCACGGCTCTTTAATAGGAGTACATATGTAATGTTTATGGAATTGAATGGCCAGCACTCCAACCATAAGTGACGTTTCGCAAACATTAGGGTCTATTTGAAAAGTATTTCCCTGACCTAGCATGGCTCTGTGGCAGAATGCTTTATTGCCATGCACGATTCTTGGGTTCGAGTCCTGCTAGGCCCTTACATTTATATTTGCTTTCGTCAAGTTAACGCTGCCGATGTCATCTCTTTCTTAACGCTCACACGTTAAAATTATCCATTTGTGTTCTCGCCATTCCTGGGTGACTACTAAGTGCCAGTCACCAGTGGCGCATCCCTGCTTTCAGATATGTGCCACTGTTTGGCGTCAAATATTTGGTAACGTACGCGACGCGATTGAGACATTCTTGACCAACGCGTCACCTGCGCCAAACCGTCTTACCCTGCCATGCTAATTTTGGCTCACGCAGAGTTAAGGGGGTGATCACGAAAGCACCCAGACCTAAGCGGCTAGATAGATAGATAGATAGATAGATAGATAGATAGATAGATAGATAGATAGATAGATAGATAGATAGATAGATAGATAGATAGATAGATAGATAGATAGTAGATAGATAGAAAGATAGATAGATAGATAGATAGATAGATAGATAGATAGATAGATAGATAGATAGATAGATAGATAGATAGATAGTAGATAGATAGAAAGATAGATAGATAGATAGATAGATAGATAGATAGATAGATAGATAGATAGATAGATAGATAGATAGATAGATAGATAGATAGATAGATAGATAGATAGATAGATAGACAGACGCCAAGAGTGCTCGCAGTATGCAAAGAAATGCTTCGCGTTTAAAACTAAGACCATGCGCCGATGTTTGTAGAATAAATTCATTAGTGAGAGGTGCTTATAGGGTAGGTGTCTATGGTGCAGAGAAAAAAAAAGCGTGGTGCGCAAGTAATTCATCACTGATTGTCGTGCCCACACGTGGGGGACTGGTTATTGCTTATCAAAGACAACAAAGTAAAAGCAAGTATAAAGTGACTGAAGACGTCTGTATATAGTGCGTGACCTTGAATTTGGTAATCTGACATGCGGAACATTCAAATGGCCTGGCTGATCCTTTTCATACCTGGACACACTTGCATTGAGTGCATATTCTACATCAAATAAAAATGTATCCGCTCCCCTGACAATTATAGGTAAGGTCTTCACGAAGGAAGTCCTTGCCATCATCGAGCAACAGACATCCTTCCTGGCCGCCCAACCGACCTTGAAGTATTTATTCAAAATCAAGCAGATTTTATATCTCATTACAGTAAAAGATAAACCTACAGAAAGATGTCCGAAAGCACGAAGATGCAGGGGAACCTGCTGTCCGAGACTTCAAAATAAAACTACGTATTTTGCGAAACAGCACGTAAAATGAAGGCGTGTATTTTCGTACAGCAATAAATCAGTTTCGGGTAGACGCAGAAGGCCTAGCAAACAATAACATTCAAACAAAAATATAGGTCTAGCTGGCAAGGTAATAAAGATAGAGTTGTTTTTAATGAACCTATATTAACATGAAGTTTGATATGAGATGAAAAGGAATTTCATATAGATACAGCCAAATACCAGCAGCGTCACGACAATCATTAGTGATACATTTTGTGATTCATTTTAGCACTCCATATCACCATTCTCTTGTACATTTTTTAATTGAATTTGCTCTTTTACTCTTGATATGCATTCCAAATTTCCCCACGGGCAAGCTTTGAAAAGGTATTCAAGCAGACAGGCGTGAAAAAACTGAAAACCTAGCATCACACAGTCGTTCGAACAAACTTACAATGCTAGAATGCGAATGCTTCCCGCTTTTACGTAATCCGTTTTTAAGCGATGGCAATATTCTTCCCAGTACAAAACCAGAAAACGACTTCGTACACGCGTTTGTACCTCGAAGTGCAGCCAACCTAACTTTCCTCGTCTACATCTCGCAGATGCACCATCATAGCAACGAACATGCCCAGTATTTTTTTTTCCTATTTTGCCCCCATCTTTATTAGTCGGTGAGAGCAGCGAGAACATGTGACTCCATCACCGGCAATAACGAGAGAACTTGGACAGCGTGGCCCGGCTTTTCGATAGTTGGACGCCGACGCGCAGGACAGCACCACGTCATGTTACCCGCGTTAGTTGCTGCTATTGTTAGAAGAGTATGGTTTAACCCCGTTCCACCACGACACGTAGTGTAACAGCGTCGCGTCAACAGCAACGAAGTACAACTGACCTGGTTGCAATAGCTGCGTATAGACTCGAAGGTGCAGTCAATGACGGGCCGCGTGATCTCAAAGATGTCGTCGAACTTCAGGCGGCGTCCTCCCTGAGCCCGGCTCTCCTTCCAACGGTGGCCGGCTTGCCGTAGCAATCCATTGCCGGCCTGCATGATGCCGAAGTCACGGCCGAACAGCACGTGGAACGGAAACGCCGCGCACATAGTCCGCACTCCTATGGGCAAGTCCTCTGGTGAGTTGCTCAGCGTGTCGGCTGCGTTACTGCCAATAAAAATGCCCAGTGATAGTACAATGTACATTTATTGTTAAGGTCAGCCGCGCGAAAGAAAAAAAAGCTAGGAAACACGGCTAAGGGAGGACTGAAAAAGCAAACAATCAAGAACACAAGCGCATGCTGTGATCTCGGTTTACTGGTCAACAAAGCGATATGCACCACATAACCTGTCAGTCAAACATGGCATCACAAACCCTTGTGACTTACAGTTACATCATCATGAGGCTACCAAGGAATGTGTCAGAGACAGAAATCACGTCAGCTTGTTGACGAACCAGCATGCAGGGTGACAGGTGAGTGTGAATTGCATCGCCCCCCTCTTTTCGCATCATGTTCTGCATTGACTTGGTAGGCAAGGTAAAATAATGAAGGTGGGGGCCTAGGGCATCGCGCGTTCACAAGCGTCTCCACCTCGGTTGATGCAGGGTTCATTGAACACTGAAGTCGAATCCTGCAACAGAGGCCTTCTGGATGACGGAGGTGTACCAGAAGAGATAGTGTAATCAAAAATATAATTCTTGGCAAGTCAATGGTATGGCTGAAACTGGAGGAAGAATACGTTGCTGTTATAAATACGAATGTATAACGTTAGCAGCAGGTCGGCAACATTAGCCGAAGCTAGGCACCACTGAAAGTGGGCGATGAAATAAGTTAGTTGAATTCGGTGAAACACCGTCATTGGCTTCAATCATGACTTGTTGCAAAAAGGGACTGAGAAGGCCCACGGACCCCTTGCATGTATTCAAAAGAAATCGAAAAGTAAAAATTTGCTGTGTTTCCCTTTATTCTGTTCACTAAACCACCTAATATTTCTCTCTCGTTCATGGTTTCCTTAAAAGGGGTAATCATCACCCAGGTTCGTATTGCTACTCGCCCATCTAACCCTACTATGCTAGCTTAATGTAGAGACTACCTTGAAGTTTTACATTGCACGATTATATGAAAAGCTAAATAGGGAAAATAAACACTAATATAACCACATTTTTTGGCGTTGGCACTCGAGGCAACTCTCTATTAGCTCTCGAACAGCTTATACCGGGTTCTAAATCACCCAGGCCACATGCGGCCAGCGTACTCCGTGCTTGCGGCCCGCTGCCCGCACATGACTGTCTTTGTTGCATAGTTTGAAATGAAAAGCAGCTCTTTGACTAGCTTGTGTCACGCTGTCCCTCCGTACAAATGCACCATGTGCCGCAGGTGTTGGCGTGGTTCCAAGTAGGTCACGCCGCTACTGCACGTTGACGTCGCGGTCCCCTCGCAATATGCGCTGACGTTACTCCCTTTCTCACCTGCCGCACGCATGCCGCTGCCGCCTCGTCCGCCATTTGCGCGCAACACCAGCCGCGACTGCCGCACGCTACACCACCGACTAGTCAGTTCGTGCGCAATAAACCGGACGCACACCTAACGTACGCGTTTAAACATGCCTATACGTGTCACCTAGAAGACCTACACCAGCCATCGTTTCAAACGAATCTTCCAGCGCTCACTGCAGCACCAGCGTTAGCACTGTTGAACTCGTGAAGCCACCCGTGCGTAACGCCGCTGCTTCGCATTCCAACAGGGTTCCTTTCGGGGAGATGACCCAAGTTTTTTTCATTTATGTTCTTAACAATTGTATTCATGTGCTAAGCACAGGTGCTTGATTTTAAGAATATCTTTCGTGAAGCATCCCATGCGGTCGCATTATGTCATAACCTAAACTTGGGACGAAGTTTCCAACATTCAGACTCACAGTGAACATCACAGTCGTTGAGCAGTACGTATTAGTAGCGCGATCTTGCTCAAAACATGCCATGAAATTCTGCTCAGTATTGACCATTGTATAAGATGTGGCAAAGACATTATTTATTTACCACTTTTGCTGACAATTTTTTGAAGCTCCCTCCTCCCCTTGTTTTAACCATCTTCATTGTCTTGGCCCTTGCGGCAGCCTTGTGACTGTGGTCCTCCAGCTCAATGGAATTTAAGACCCCAGGTTTAAACTAAGTTACTCAGTTAAATACGCGTTCAAAACCAATGTGCCACATGCCAGCACGTCTGTATTTTTTACTATATATGTTCTCCGGAACAACCCCAGTACCAAGCAGTTTATCTACCTTTGATCTACACGGCCTGAGACTGATACCATAGCAACGGTCGTTTGGATAATAAAACAAAACACATCGTGACGTCTGTGCCAGTGCACGCGAGGCTCGACTCGCGTTATACTGACACGCCAAACATAGACGACGGCGAAATCGATGTGATGATACTCTCTCCCGAAGCAGTGTCACAGAGCAACAGCTATAGGTTACAATTCAGCCGCGCACTGCCACAGCAGTCGTCTTCATCAAGTATCGATCGAAGGCTTGTTATGCCAAGTCAAAGAAGGCCCCACTTTGCGCTCCTTTACAGCGTCTTCATAGGGAAATAATCAAGGCGTAAACTGACATGCACGAAACAAAAGGGGAAACACGAGCTTGCACTACGTGAAATCGGTGCAACGTCATTAACAATAGCACAATGTCAACTAGTCAAGCACGACTTCAAAGCCCAAACGTCTGGCCAGTTTCACGAAGTGAAAGAAGAAAGTTGTTGGCTTTGTCATTAGATTCTTGCAAAGTCTTTCTTTTGTTTTGCCTAACATGTCGTCGTGACGTCCCAATGCACCTGCAGTCGTTAAGGAAGCACAGCTGCGCAGAAATAATCGTCCAACACGCTGTGTCTCCGAGCTCAGGTGTTGGGTAGATACTGCGACGAAATCAGGGCAGTAGTGGGGGAACGCTAACTGGGTGAGTTCAAGTTCTTGCCTAGTTTATTTACACCCCTATGTCAGCGCCCATTCCGCCAATATTTTTTTCGAGAATGTTGCAAACAGCCGAAATTTAATATCAAGTTGGCAATCAAAGCTTCAACTCTCTTTGACACTGTACTTAAGATAAGGTTGCAGTGGCGGTGACGAAAACTGAAAAGAACTCCATATACCATGGACGTAGATTTCACACTGACATGTACGTGATTGATGTATATGCCATACTCACGCGTCAATGACGCGAGAATGACATTGGCATTTTTGTGCATCTCAGAACTGCTGGTTAACTGATGAGGAACGTGTACATAGAGGGTCCAAAGTATAGAAGCAAGGGTTGTTTAACCTGCATCAAATTACGATGGTCGCGTAAGTTAAAGGACCGTAGAGGTATAAATTTCCGGAGACGTTTTTTACACGTCGCTCATAACGATGTCATGGTTTTAGGGCGTTAATTTTAAACAATTATTCTTACCTGATTGCACGACACTTTCCCCGTAGTAAGGAAGCCTATCCCCTTTTACACAGTTGCACAGCAGCCTTGCCAAAGTGGCGTTTGGCAATGTGGCTACAATACACAAAAATATCCACAAAAAATCGTAAATCAAATTGTACCTTGGAAGCAGGCAGCTTTTTCCTTCCTTGTTCTGCTCCGTCACTTCCATAGTCACATGAGCCCTGTCTCCAAACTCTGATACAATGGAGATGTTGGCGCGCACCTCCGTATTGAAGAACTCTCTTCCCACCACTTTAACGATTCCAAGCACGATCGGGTGGAGGCCTGCGTGTAAAACACATACAAAAATACCAAGAAACACTTTCACTAGCAGTGGCAATGCGTGCTCATCTGACAACAGTGTGCTCAATTGACTACTATTCTCCTTTCCCGCTTACTAATTAGCTCTTTTTTAATCAATAATGAAGAAAACAAAAAAAACAAGTGACAAACCATTCACTCGCGAGGTTAGCCTGCAGCACATGTATTAGTTCAGAAAAGGGGGTATTAGTTTAGGAAAGTGAGAGACACGACTCTTCTGATTCACCATGCCAAGTGGTATTTCACATTAACTCAAGCAGTTTTATCTCAGATAAGTTTACAATATGATATTACTAGCACGCTAATTTAAAGGCAAGCGCTTGACAACCTTTCCAAAGGTTTTTTTCGCAATGACACTAACCACTCAAGTGCGAGGCAAAATCGTCGTCAGCGCCGTCTAGTACTGAGCCGCTTGCAATCGAGAACATTACTCTGGTGAATGTTCAGCTACAAATATGCTCTTGACAGCAAATTACTCTCCACAAGACGGCGCAAAAGGTAATTTGGCATTTGTTCACAGCTGGAAGCAATTTGCGGCAGACTGTAAGTGTTCTAAACCCACATTTTAGAGCACTATGTAATCACCCTGAAAATTTATTTCGACGGAAAGTCAAAGAAAGAGAGCGAAAGGGCGTACCACAGAGCATCGTGTCTTGTCAAAAAAATTATGAAGGCTTGTCCTAAGCCGCGCAAGACTTCAAAACAGCGAACCTTTCCGATTCTTAAGAATAATGTGGTTGCGTCAAGGTTATGCGCCAAAACCAAGGTGATGCAAGTTGTTTCTAGATTGCTTTTAGGCTGTTGCTAGGGCCATGCCAAGGCGATGCCAAGTTGTCTCTACGTTCGTTTTCAGTGCAGAAAGTTTCGAGTGAAGACTGACGTAGACACGAGACGAATGTCCAAGCATATAATTAGAAACCAAGCAACGTGGCCTTGTTGACTGAGACCTTTCATTGCCTAAGGGCCTTCGGCTCGACGCCGTCACTCCGAAGCCACTCTTTTTGCTAATCTTCTTTTTTGATGTTTAGAGAAATAGTGCTCAGGAGTGGTACTTTGTCAATTTTCGTTGGACCTACTCGTTTAAGCGAGTTTTCTGGAGGGTTGCGTCTATGGTGCTCTTAGGGTTGTTCTTCGTATTTAGTTGACTAAGGATGAGTGCCGGGACTTACTCGGTGTCTGTGGAACATAATTTATGATGAAGACAGTCTTGTGGCACGCCGAACTGACACATTTCCACTAAGCTAATGATAACTTTTTTCTACGATGCGCACATTACGGATAGCTTAAACAGCTTCATTGTTTTTTTTTTCAAAAAAAAAACGCCCCAGCCAGCTCAGTGATGCACCATACAATTTATTCTCCGGAAGACATCACTGCGCAAACATCAGATGCAGTCCCAATATGTGCTAGACAACGCGGAATATTCTCGTGAGAACAGGATTTGAGGCGTACCTTTTCTGTCGCTGTAGTAGTGTAGCAGTATTTGACCGCTGGGACCTGGTGTTACGCGAAAAGAGGGCGCCCGCATGCCCGGATAGGTGGAGGCCAGGTGGTCGTGCAGATTGTCTAGGTTTGTCAGGAAGTCGGCCATGTTGGAACCCAGGACACGCAGGATGTGGTCGTAGCCGTGCTGCTGACAGAAGTACAGGAAGTGCTCCCCGAACGCTTCTAGGCATGTGTCTAGATCCAAGCCTGCACATTGCGAAAGTTGACCGTTACCTCCAAAAGCCCTGTGCTTTATATTGTGTCATCGACAGCGAACTCGTGAATCATTCTAATTACGTTACATAATCCGTATACCTATTACAAGAAATATTTACAACTGATTGGTGCTACATTCACTAAAAAAGATACAAGAAGGAATTCTTTCTTCAATAAGCTAGTTTTCTTCTTAGGCAAAACGTAAGCTGATCAATGCATAGCAAAAATACTTTGTAGTATGCAGTTTATATGTTTTAGTAAAGATAGACAGATACTGACCCCACAACCTTTGAGTGATGCGGCAGAAGCTCCAACAATACAGGTACTGAGGAAATCGTTTACCGGATCAGTTTAGTGAGCGTTTTTGTAGAATTTAGATAGGTTATTTGAAAGTATTTCTTGTAGATGCGCACATTTTTTTTTTCAAAATAAAAGCAAAGGTTGGTCAAGGCTTTAGCCCAAAAGTGTTCCCCAATACTTGAACCATTAAACTTTGCCTACGCTCTAATTGCCATTTATGGCGAAGAGTGGCTTTCACAAAGTTGTTTTCATCTTGTATAGAAATGGCTGACAACCCCATCTGTGACAGCTTTGGTAGAGAAGAGACACTGCAGGACATCTTTTGCGACTACCCTGACTACAATGCGCACGAGAAAAAAAATCACTTGCTGTCACAGAACCTTATGACGGCGGAAACCATTCTGGAATGTCGTCTAGAGAGGTCATCGCTAGTAAAGGTGACGAAAGCAGTCTTGAGCCAATTAAAGGCAACAGACTTGTACCAGCGCTTATAGATTACTGATAACTGTGAAGTGCGACTTTGAGTGGACGTGCTTGCCTCTCTCTTTCCACTTCTAACATTCAAATTCAACCATTCCTTGCCCTAGTGTAAGGTGGCATACCACTCCTAAACTGGTTAACATCCCTGCCTTTCCTTTCCCTTCTGTTTCTTTCTCCCTTTTTTTTGGCCTGTGTGGTCCAATTACCAAGCATGAAATTCACTGGCTGCTTACATTAGCTGCAAAAAATAGCGCTTCTGGTGTGAAAGACATATTTGTACTAAATATATTTAAATAGGTTAAGTACTATTGTTTCTGTACAGTGTCACGGGGGTTCGCGACGTTGAAGAAGGCAGCAGCCAGCGTTTTCAAAACTGTGCCTCTGCCAGAAAAGTGAAACAACATGCCAACAGCAATAAGCTGTCGACTGATAGCGGCCAACATACTGTCGGTCGTCGGTAATTTATCAAGCGACGAAGTAAATCAGCACTTACACACGTGCTATCAATGATTCCCGCGTTATCGCGAATGGGCGCATAAATTTCACAAAGCTCTAATGGTTCGGTTGGGCACATAATCTCGTCATAAGGATCAAAGACTATCTAGCTATTCATTAATGTTTCCATGTCGGTTTGCGTAAGGCAGCAGTTACACGTGTAATGGGGCGGTAGCATAAATAAAAAGAGCATGTGTAGCAGAGCGACGTGCTTTTTTTATAAAAAAGGGCCATTTTTAAATATAGTCGCCATCGAGAAAGTGGCATGAAAATATATTACAATGCATACTAAACTCACATAGTTGTGCATATTCTCTATCAGCTTCTCTAACAATCCCGAAGTTTCTACATACATTGTGTTTATTCTGCATAGTAGACAAAATTAAAGGTTTAATACTAAACCGTCAGAGTGGGACTATGGTGTCCACGCAACTTGAATAGCTAAAAAAGAGAACTCATGAATTCATCGAGTCTAACGTTCAGACGCTCAGTAGTGCGCTATTAGAGATGCCATACCAAAAAATCTTAAAAAATATTGCAGTTTGGGGTTGTCTGTCCAACGCCCCATTTGTGAACGAACATTTCTCAATTCCACCTGCGTTAACACGAAGTAGGTCTCTTTAAATCATGATCTTAATATCAAAAGTGATATGTCATGTTCTATAAAGCGGCAAGTAGGTTTACTATCCTACACAGAGTTGGCTGCTGAACACTAAAAGAAAAAAAGTTACTGAGAGAAAAACATGTCTAGGGAACGACATTTAACGTGAATCCTGCTTAGTACAAGATGTGTTCTTGCTTCGCTGGGCACATTTTGCCAGGGAAGGCACAGCAACGCTGAGTGTGGCTTTGAACAGTAGCGTAGAATCAGCTACTTAAATTGAAATGTATTGAAATAGTTTAAAAAATATTTGTTTCGTTGATGTAATGATTTTCGTTCATTTTATTCCTTCCAATTTGTGTAATAATTACTACACTACAGATATACAACTGTGAATGGTCAGTAGCTGTCTTTTCTTTGTCATATTTGTCTGTTGAATTCATTTGAATGCAACTAAGAAATTAACGAGTCCCTTGGGAAAAAGGAAGTCCCTTACTACAGTACATTTTAGTCGCATACAGCTGCCTTGCAACATGTAAGTGCAGGTTTATGAACCCTGCGCAAGCCATTTGACTTGCCTATTGGGCATTTATTAGGAATGGCTAGCCTGCTGTTATCGTTTCTTCAGCTGTATTGTACATTAGTTGGAAACTTAGTTTCGTATTCTCTATACCCTCCGCCCCCGCCGCGGTGGTCTAGTCGCTAAGGTACTCGGCTGCTGACCCGCAGGTCGCGGGTTCGATTCCCGGCTGCGGCGGCTGCATTTCCGATGGAGGCGGAAATGTTAGAAGCCCGTGTACTCATATTTGGGTGCACGTTAAAGAACCCCAGGTGGTCAAAATTTCCGGAGCCCTCCACTACGGCGTCTCTCATAATCAAATGGTGGTTTTGGGACGTTAAACCCCACAAATCAATGAATCAATCAATCAATCAATCAATACCCTCCGCAGCTAGAATATTTCAAATGACGTACTCTAAGCCAATAGGAATATTGGACTCTTGGCAGCGGATTGTGATAAAGTGCGCTTTCTAAAGAAAATGTTTGTTATATTAGCGCCATAGCGCAATGGCCAGCGTAAGTTCATTTGTTACCGTAGAGCTGTCATTGCGTAGCCAAATTGTCGGTGTCTGGGAGCACTACCAATGTCGAGACCTTCCAAAGTGCACCAATACCTTTGTTATTCAGCACTTTTCTCGCGACCTAATACTTCCATGCAAACTCAACTGCTGCCGGCCGTATCCTCCTTCACATGATAGTTGCAGGGACGGCTCATTTCAAGTGGGGATGATTGAGAGGGGAGGGTATAGTCTGCATGACTTCGGCAGAGACTACGCGCTTTGGTCGCACGGGCTTTACCTTTACAGGGAGCCCCACCGCAATGGTCTAGTGGCTAAAGTACTCGGCTGCTGACTCGCAGTTTGCGGGACCGAATCCCGGCTGGGGCGGCTGCATTTTTCATAGAGGCGAAAATTCTGTAGGCCAGTGTGCTCTGATTCGGGTGAACGTCAAAGAACCCCAGGTGATCGAAATTTCCATAGCCCTATACTACAGCGTCACTTATATTCATGTGGTGATTTTGGAACGTTGAACCCCACATATCAATCGATTACCTTTACAGAGAGAAAATGGTTCTTATTCTTATAGTAAGTGTCGTGTTCTCGTGGCAAGCTTCGCAATCAAGCCATAGTGAACACGAAGATCAATACGCTTAGTGTAGCAGCCACGCTTTTTTACGATAGACCTGCCGATGAAGTAGGCTGCGAGACTGATTTCTTATGATATCCCGATTTGTCGCTATCGCATTCATTGCTTCTTTTTTGCGAAACCGTGTTATTTTAATTCACAATACGCACACAAGGTTAAAACACCTGAAGGAAGTGTGATGCGTTTTCTCATAGTCTTCATTAGTTTATTGTTGCCACCATTTTATGAAAAAGGATGGTTATGTAAGAGCCGTTCACCAGAAATACAAATGAGGTTAGCTAGACACGATATGCCTACTGCTGCATTGATGAGCTGGCTTCAATGACAGTGGTGCAGTAGTTGCCCCGATTTTTTCAAGAAGGCTTTTTAGGGACGGCTTACCGCTCTCCCATAGTTGAATACGAAGTACTCAAAATTGTTAATCGTTTCTTTTAAACGCAACACAAATGGTTATCGTAAAACAGTGGTTATCGCGAAACAACAGCAATCATTTCGCTAGCATACAGCAGGCAAACGGTGCTGCGAGTCCCACGGGATGGCTCCATGCTCTCTCATAGTAGAGTACCAAGTACTCAAAAGTGTTTACCACTTTTTATAAACACACAATTTTTAGTGTGCCTGTGGATGTTGTGTTCCGTCGCGATGTTCTGTTGGATTGTAATTAATGTTCACTGTTCGTGAGAATAAGCTTTTCTAAACATCACTCACACTTGCAGCCAGGGAAAGCGAAAATAACAGAAAGGAGGTCCACAGGATAGCTTTATGCACTCAGATTGTAGAGTACTTGGTACTATAAATCGTTTACTACCTTTTTAAACACAAGGTGCTCTTTATTGTTTCTTTTTTTTTATTTATATGATGTATAAGGAGATGTTGGCGCACCATTATGGCGCCGGCTACTCCTTAGCCGCTGATTGAAACATGAACACGTATCTTGAAGCAAAACATACAAAGCAGTGCATGGAAAATAGAAATCTCGGGCACAGATATGCAAAGACACACACATACGCACATATCACAATGGTAAGTAAATGTTCGAAAGTCAATGTAAGAAGTCTCTGGAAATGTTCCTCGTTAATATTCGGTCCACCAGCACAAAACAGCAAAGCACACGTCTGGTCCTTATAAAGGTGCATTCGCTCGTATGTACATAATAGTCGACATGTCATTCATTTCACAACACACACGTGAAGGGTGTCACATAATACGGTACATAATAAGTACATGTGTTACAAATGAAAGTTTGTTCTTTGTTAATACTTATCAGCAATCCCGCTGTCTTGTAAAAAACGTGTTAATGCTTTTAAAGCGTGGGACTGTAAAACTTCAGTTGGCCATGGGCCCAGAAGTTTTTTCATGCTAAATGGTCTGCGGTCCAATGCGAACAGTTCGCACTTAAGACGGCGTCTC